TTTACATTTGATATAATATAGCTTTTAAATAAATACTATAATGGGATATTTCTACGTAATACATTACACCACTTATACACAGTTGTGCAATGAACATAAACTTTAAGATTATAATAAAATTAAAACAATTATTTTCATRTCTTTTGCAAACAATCATACATATTTATTTTAAATAAAAACCGGTTAAACTATGAAGAAATATTTATACTGTATCCTATATTTTTTAGATGTGTAGACGATGCAGTAAAATTTCCTGGATTGGAAACATTTCCAACATCTAGCTATGCTACTAAACAACTTATTTCTAGAGAAATAGAATTGGAAAATTTGAGGAAGAGAATGTCTCATGGACAACTAAATAATATCACTGTAGAACCTGATGAGTTTGATGAGAATGATAAAAATATTTCTACTCCAAAAGCTGTTAAAGGTCAGTGAATTTGTTATTGTAATTAAGCTTTGTCTATAAAATAAATTTATTTTGTTGGTGTGAATCATAAACATTATATTAATACTTAAAATTAATATATATATCATATTATTTTTTTTTTTTTGATATTTATTAAAAGAACAGAAATTTAAAAAAAGGAGCATTTTTTTCATTCCTAAAAAGGTATTATGATGATGTAGAAAGTGCTTATTAAAAACATATTTAGACCAATGTAAACTATGTGTCAATCAACCAATTGTTTCTAATTAGCTATTGCTTTTATTTACCATGTAAAAAAAAAAAAACAAAAAATGTATAAAAAAAAATGTTATTGCTATGAAAAAATAAATATATTATGTCATTTAAGTATTGATCTATTGATGATTGATGTTGTTTTTCCCTGTCCATACTGGCACACCACACAATTGTGAGTTGTTTTTTGCTCATCTTTGCCTCTTTGGTTTTGTCGCTTTTGAATATTACAACTATGTGTGTTCTAAAAGGTTCTAAAATCAAAGCCAGTCTTGTCCACATTAAAAACATTAGAGGGTGAGTATTTGGCCATAATTTTGGTCCAATGAGTTCAATATTGAATGTAATGAACTAATGACAATATAATGCAGTGTCCCAAATTGTTTCAAATAAACTATGTGTTCTTTAAATAATCTGATTGATTTCTAATATTTTAATAAGCACTCAGTCCATCCATAAACATTTTTTTAATAATCCAATTGTATCAATTATCCATGTTCCTAATAAGCAGCTTCTACTATATTTTGAATGAAAATTATTAAATTTACTGTATGGAGTTACATATTAAATTGTTTTATTATTGATTAATGCATCAGTTACTTACTACACACTTACTTGACCTATCAAATATTTGAATTAGAATTTGGATCTTATTTTTATATAGATGGATCTCATGTGTAGGTACTTTTGTTGGACAAAGACATACACTAAAATAATTTGACAATTTAAGTGTAGAAAAAAATAGATTAAATGGAATAATCA